TCTATGTCTGTTTCCTAGCACTGTAAGGCAGTCCTCACACTAACTGTCACAGGTGCTCTTACCTACTGCTGCCTGCTGATGGGAAGTTTCTGTGCCTGTGGTCTGCCTTACATGTGTTGATTTCCTTCTCTCTGATTACCCTGAGGGATGGGTGCTAGGTCAGACATAGGACATGCCCTGCACACTGCAGCTGTCCTCAAGATGAATCAATACCCTGGCTTGCCGTGTTATCTTTACAGGGGAGTCTGAGTAAGGACTATGTCCATGCGAGATTCTGTCACTGACAATTGATGATCACCACAGGAGGACACCTACTGTCAATTCCCTTGCCAATGACACGCTCAGTGGAAAGCTTAGGTCTCCACTTGAAAGACTGTTAACCTTAACTACTACAGCCTCCCTGCCCTTTCCCCAGGGTTCCCTGATAACAATCATTCTGTAAACTTATGCCTTGTCTGCAGACTGATAGCCTAGAGACTCCCCAAAGTGGCTATTTCCAAAATTATTCAAAGGAAGAAGATGCTTTCAAAGTTACTCGTGACTTAGATGAGGTGAGTTCCGAGTAACATTAAATAAAAAGCGAAAATTATCCGTGGGCAGATGAGCTGTGTGAATCCCTGGCAATCTCTGTCTTTGCTGCCATCTTGAAGTCTGCTCTCCCTGTGGAGACTGAGACCCGTTACTGGGGCAGTGTTCGCTCCAGGCCTGACCATCCCACCCCCAAACCAGCCAAAATGCCAAATTCCAATAACCGCAGGTTTAGTTGAACAAAAACAAGAGCAAATTTGCTCCAACTGGGAATGCACCTGAATGGGAGATCAGAAGTATGTATTTTAAATGAAAAAGCCATCTCAGGTTGAGGAGTTTTGGGGCGGGGCAGGGGTAGTGGTGATGATGGTGGTAGTGGTGAACTTTTAGCAGTGCAATGTTCTTTTTCATAAGCCTGAAGTCATATACCTGGGAGGGCCATTTGACAGAGAGCTTTAGAATACTGTTAGAGAACCAAGCCCAGAGGTTATATAGCCTCTAGGGGAAAGCCATTCTTCCCCATGGAATCTCTTTTTTTCATCGCTCATTAGCTCTCTGGGAATCAGAGAAAAGTGTTTCCTAATTATCCTGGGGCAGGAAAAAGGGAATGTCCTTTACAGTACAGCATGAGAATCTGTCAGAGCCACTGTGAGGTCTGGCCTCTGCCTGTGTCTACAGCCTGGGAGCCGATCCCTAAAGGATCAGAATGCAGGAAGATGGCCCCACAGTGTTTGCTTGAGACTTCTCCATCTGTGGTAACAGAGAACTCCAGACACCTTCACTGCAGTGTTTGGAGAATCACGTCCAAGAATGCAGGACTGATGTCTAACCACTGCTCCATACAACAGGAATGGGGGTGTCTTACAAGTTGATGTGCAATCTTTGCTTTGTGTCACCCTCAGGAGAAGCTCCTTGCTACACGGGAGTCACAGAGCTGGGGCCAGCTGGAAGGCAGGCCATGGGATAAGAAGTGTGAATGAAGGTTTCCAGTTGCTACAGATAACAAGCAGAGACAAATTCCCCAGACAGACAGGGGCTCTACTCCATCAGTGTTAATGACTTCAGCCAGGATCTCAAAGCAGCCAAGAGAAATAGCACAAATGTGTTCCTTGATTATGTCGGAGCCCAGTGGGAGCCATGTCTGGAGCAGCGGCCTGAGAACAGGATCTTGTGGTTATGTTGGCAGAACCTAGGAGGTGTCAGATTGGTTGGGGAGTGTGAGGGGAGGACCGGCAAGAACTTGCCTTCTCCAGTTTTGGGGAACTTCTACTGGCACATGGAGCAAGGGATTTTTCCACAGAGGAAGGACATGGTAGTTAAGGCAGGACATGAGCTTCCCAAACTCAAGAAGCAGAGATCTCTGGGAATTATCGTTGGCTTCTTCTCTAGCCCTGCCTCAGTTCTTCATGGCCATGAGGGATAGAATGAGCTCAGAGTCATACAATAAGATCCATGCTTAACATTGTTCATAGGTAGGAGTGGTGACCCATTGAGACATGGGCCAGCATCAGAATTGGCATTTAATAATAAACCCAGGTTTTAAATTTATTGGTCAAGAACTTCCAGAAAATTGTTTGAAGAGTTTTTTTTTTTCTCCAAACTTTAGTGACATCAACTATTTATTGAGATGGAAGATGTCTTTGGGATGTGAAGGGCAGACCCCTCACATTTAGGTTGCCATGATAGAAACCTGATTGGGTCTATTATCTTACTAATTCCAGTACATATCAGCTGTGGTATGAGGGGATCTTCAGGAGAGTATCCGTTTCTTTGATAGCCTCCACAACTTCTCATTGACACGCCACTGGTCCTGAGTCCCACAGACCACTGGTCGATCTTGGCCAGGTGGGGATGTTTCAGAAACACAAATAAGGCAAATGTGAAACAGGAGCCAGATCACTGTCTGGCTGTAAGACCATCATTCCCTGTTACTTCTTAGCTTTACCAGCTTGCCTCATTAAGGGTCCTAACCTGTAGGCACTAGCTAGTTCTGACCAACACAGGATTTGTGGCCTACCAAGGAAAAGAACTGGTCCTGACTGCCTAAGCCTGGGATCTAGAACGTATTTGTCTCTCATAACAGCTACTGTCTCTCCTGTTACCCTAGATGTCTAGACTCAGCAGCAGGCTCCATCCTTAAACTCCTGACTGAAGCTTACCTGTTGGGTCTTGTGGACCCTCTTGCTGATTTTCTTTCCTGAGTAGATATGGCAGCTTGTTTCCCATTGTCTGCTAGACCTGTTTCACATTATAGAAGATATGTAACCCCCACCTTATCACTGTGGGACTACCCCTTCCATCACACACACACACACACACATATACCCTCACACACACACACACACACACACACACACATACTCACACACAAAGACATACACACCACAGCATACATACACCACCCATATATACACAGATACAACATTCATCATACACCACACACACATAAGTACACATTATAACCCCACCCAACCCCACACCCACTTACCAACCCTCACTCCATACATCCACACACAAACATACCCTACACATACACACACATACTACACTCACAGACAAGCAACACACACACACACACTTCTGCCTAGATCAGTGATTCTTAATGTGTGAGTCTATAGGTTGAGACCCCTTTGGGAGTCAGATAACCCTTTCACAGGGATTGTATATCAGATATTCTGCATACTGGATATATATATTACAATTCATATAAGTAGAAAAATTAAAGTTATGAAGTAGCAACAAAAATAATTCTATGATTGGGGTCATCACAACATGAGGAACTGTATTAAAGGGTCACAGCATTAGGAAGGTTGAGACCCACTGGACCATCTCTTAGGTTTCAGTCCAGGTGCCAAGTGCAAGGATTCCCTTTTCTATTTGTGGCCAGTCCACAATGTAACTATCCATCCCAGCCCACCTTCTGCTCACCAGCCCAGGGACCTAGGCACCCAGTCTAGAGGGGAACAAGACCTAAGGTTGGGAAGCTATTCCCTAGGCTACCCTAGCTTCTTGCTTCCCTGTGGATGCCAGGGAAAGTTCTCCAGGGCCTGACAAGAAGGTGCTTCTATTTTCAAAGGCTGGTTGAGAGCCATGAAGACTGGGGTACAGGTGTCGGGGAACATGAAAGCATATTCCCAAGACCAGGCCAGCTTATCATTTTCAGCCTAATGCTTCACTGACCTGACCACCAGTCCTAGACTGGAAGTGAAGGGTCTCTGAGGCTGTGGACCCCAAGGCTCTTCTCCACTCTTGGACTCTTCTTTTCCTAGTCACCCACCCACTCTCATCCTCTTCTCAGGGCCAGCCCTCCTTGTCCCACCACTGTATTGGAACAGTTCCATAGGAGGGAGGTCCAGAGGCATCTCAGTGGCAGCCTAGGACTCTGGTCTGCCCTCGGCTTGGCAGTGAAGATGCTGTTATGGCCACTTGTCACTTGTGTTTCATAGCCCACTTTTCTCCGAGGAGCCCCCATGCAACAACTCTGGCAGATGTTTCCTGGGTTGTTCGTTTGTCTCTTGCTTTTTTTTGAGACAGGGCTATACATCCCGGGCTGGCTTCAAATTCTCAATTCTGCCTCAGCCTGCCAAACGCTAGGATTACAGGCATGCATCACTACACTAGGCTCCAGATACTTATTTTAAAATTATCCTTGTGTCTCTTTCCTGTCTGCCATCCCTATGTTAGTACCAGCGAGCTCATCTTTCGCTCTGAAATTCACGTGTTCCCCAGGACCATTTTACAGGTTCTTTGTAGTTCTCGGGCCAAATAGTCTCACGAAAGGTACAACTGCTGGGCGGGGGGGGGGGGGCTCTCTTTTGAAGCACAGGGCACAGTATGACTAGGGGTGTCAGGCAATTGTGAAGACAACATTGCGTGTGCTCCTAAGCACTCAGTGTCCTAGGGCCGCTCTAATTAAATCAATTACCCTGTAAGCCTCAGTGTCCACTCGACACAGAAGAGGAAAACACACACTAGGTAGTATCAGAGGCCTTGCTAAGAAGCTATTAATCAGTGGGTTTTGGCCTCAAACTAAAATGCATTGCCCCTGGAAGGCCTCTGTGAACTTGTCCCCCGCTGGAGGCCTGAGCATCCATAGACAGAATTACCTCCCTCGAGCAGCAGACCTCAGGGATTGTGCTGAGAGACCTAGAATCAGGGAGGAAAGTGAGCAGGCAGGCTCCAGTAATCAGAGAGAGGATAGATACCACCCTAGAACTCTTGTCAAGAATCCCACTCTGGTGACAGCTAATGTTCTCACTCACAGAGGCCTAGAAAGCACTTCTCAGAAAGCCTAGGCAAGGCTACTTTCTTCGAGGCCCTGAGGAAGAGATTCGAGGCCTCAACACACTGTTCCTCTCTGTAGAGCTCCCATACTCCTGGGGCCCCACAAAGCTTGTTCAACTAATTGGCCTCTCTGGCTTTCCAGGCTCCTTGGTGTCTGGCAAGAAGAGGCTCTGGGTAGCACACAGATTTCACATTGAGCCCCTTGTTGCCTGGGACACACTCAGCCCATTGGGTTCATCCTCTTCATCCTGCTCAGCCTCTTTCCCAGCCTCAGCACAACCCCCAAGCAAGGGAGGACTGGGAAGGTACTGGAGGAGCCGACCGTTCCGCTTCATTTCCGCCAGCTCCTTGGCACAGCAGCTGGGTGTGTTGGTCTCATAAGTGTCGTGGAAAGTGTTGTAGTCCACCTCATAGAAGCCCTTTTCCAAGGTGAGAACTGGTGTGAATCGGTGACCCCAGAGCACCTCTGTGTCCATGTAAGAGCTCCGTGCTTGGCAAGTCATGCCTGGGGAAACAGAAGCCACATGCATTAAGAAGCATCCATCCATCCATCCATCCAGCCAGCCAGCCACTTATATGTACGTCTATACATCCAGTCATCTATTCATCTGTTCCATCATCCATCTACTCATGTAACTATGTATTCATTATCTGTCCATCCATTTACTCAATCAAACCAATATTGGGCCATTAAATCATCTGTCCATCTATCTCTCTGTAGTGGCTTAAATGATAATGGCCGCCGTAGGCTCATATATTTGAATATTTGGCTTCTAGCTAGTAGACTGTTTAGGAAGGATTAGGAGGTGTGGCCTTGTTGGAGATGTTACTGGGGGTTGAGAATTGAGGTTTCAAAAGCTGATGTCGGGCCCAGTCCCCCCACCCTCCTCTCTGTCTGATACCTGAAGATAAGATGTAAGCTCTCAGCTACTGCTCCAGCACTATGCTGGCATGCCACTGCCATGATACCTCCCATGATACAAATGGACTAACCCTGTAGAAACTGTAAGTAAGCTCCCAAGTAAATGCTTTCTTTCATAAATTGCTTTGGTCATGGTGTCCCTTCACAGCAATAGAAGAGTAGGTAAGACACCCTCCATCCCTCCAACTATCTATCTAGTCATCAATTCCTCCAACAATTTTTCAAGCATCTCTTGAACTTCTTTGTGTCAGGGACCTGGAAGGTGAGGCTGAATATGAGATGATCCCTGTCCTGGAGGAGCTCAAACTACTATGAGGGAAGAAAACAACCAATGAACAAGTGAGATTCTAGAATACACTTCTGGATGTTAAAGAGAGTGGGGGAAAGAAAATACGTGCAGACAAGGACATCAGTTTTGAAAGCGGCATTTAGGAGTATCAGGCTGAGACTGGAAAGGAGGCAGGACCAGGGTTTGAACAAGATAAGTTCAGGGTGAGGGAACAGAGAGAAGCAGGCAGACATCACAACACAGGGGAATAATTTTGGGTGGACATACACCGGAAGTGTGTACACTCATGAACACATACATGTATCCACAAACAAGCATGCATACACGTACAGGAAGGGGAGCAAACTAACACCCAGCCTGGCTTCTAGATCTGAGGATGCTCCAATGCATCTAGTTCTCTGAGCAGCCCTGCCATGGCTGGGTTATTTTTAGGTGTTGCTTCCTCTCCTGAGAGGGAGGGCCGTTTTGTTTATGGATGAGGAAGCCTCTGTGCTTAAGGTCACAGAAAAACAAGTTTTTATTTCACATTCTATCCAAGGAAAGACTAACTTGTGCTCTTTAGATACTGAAGGAAAGCCTTCTCCAGGTCCCACTTAGCTCCTCTCCAGTTCCCACCTAGGCCTTCTCCATTTCCCACTCTAAGCCTTCTCCGGTTCCTAACTAGGTCTTCTCTGGGAGAGGGATCATACAAACCAGAGCAAAACCAAAAAGCTGCTTTCCATTCACCTGAGCCTGGGTCCCCCAAAGCATCCGTCTCTTTGCTCTCAGGGTGATACTTGCCCGACTCAGGACTATCCATTCAGGCCTCACCCTGGTTGTATACCAATGAGCCCAGCAGAGGTAAAAACACCCAAGCTGGATACTGGCCAGTCTAGACACCCCACTCTGTCCCTGCAGGCTTCTGAGACTCTGAAAAGACCCTAGCACAGGACTCCTACAAGAATACCTGCAGAGGTCCCATAGGACTCTTCCTATTGTTCTTTCTGTTTGTCCTTTAGGGAAATGGCATAGGCTAGCCTTTAGCCAGAGACCCTGGCTGCTTGCAACTGTTACCTTTCAATGAACATATCAGCTCTGAGTCTCATCTGTGGCACTCAGTTAGTTTTCCCACCAGCACATGATACCGACCCTCTTCATTTGCAGACAAGACAAGCACATTGCTCAGACTCACATAGGAATGATATGGAAGAACTATGCTGCTCAAACTGGGCCTGAATTCATGCCAAGGCTGGGTTCCATGAGCATGACAATGGAACAACTCAGGTCATTTGTGAGTAGGTGGTCTCAGTGTCCCTCATAGTTCCACAGAGAACATAGATTAGCTAGCACAGGTTGTGTTAGGGCAGGATGGTATAGGATAGGACTTTCAGGGAAATGTGAGAAGATCGGGCAAACTGGCTCAGCACCTACTCCCTCTGCTGGGTGGTCTGTGGGTGCTCTCCTATGGCACAGCTGGTCGTAGAGAACACATCACCAGGGATTCATGAGACTGTTTATGGCTGATCCTCTCTTCAGGACCTCAGAGAAGAGCTTCTTCCCTAGAAAATGGTCCTATGTTCTATGCTGATCGTGTTACCAAGGACACACTGACCCTAGAGTCCCCATGTACACGAATCAGCTTCCTGCTTCCTGACTGCCCTCAGCCCCAGGGGCTCCTCCAGCTGCCACCATATGCTTCCTGGCTAGGCTCCGGCCCTCCAGCAGATGGCCAGGCAGCCTTTGGCACAGTCCCTAGGGCCTGCCATCACCCTGCCTGACTCCGACTTGGAACTGGGAAGGCTTATAGAGGTCCTGTCTGAGGCCTCCAGCCAGTAACCAGACACCCAAGGGCTGACAAGGTACGCTTGTCCACCTTTAACAAGCCTCTAACATCTTAGGGTCCAGTGTGGTGTGTAAATAAAAGCTGGAGACTTGTAACTGAAAGCCGGAGTATGAATGCTTAATGTCCACCTAGGCCTTTTGGGGTCCAGTATCCGTATCTGTAAAAGGGATGAAAATCAAATAAATACTATTTGCAAGGTTTTGAAGCGGATGTAGTATTCTGAGCCTGGGTGACTTTTGAACAGGTCAGCACTAGCATTAGTACACTGCTCAGTCCACCTGATGAAATAAGGAGACAGAAGGAGAAGGAGGGTGGATACAGCATCTATCTGATGGGCTCTCCTTCCCAAGAAGCAGGAGGGCTGACCATGAGGGTAATGCCTGTGGCTTTTAACAGATCCGGAGGGTAGATCCTCTTAAACAGAAGGGTTGTGGGGGAATACCTGTGAACTTAAGAAAGGCTGCATACTGGGTACTGTCTGAACTAGCTAATTTTGTAACACAAGCCAGAGTCCCCTGGAAAGAGGGAAATCTCAAATGCCTCCATCAGATTGGTTTGTGGTGTGTGTGTGTGTTGTTGGTGTTGTTGTTTTGTTTAATGATTGTTGTAGGAGGATCCAGCCCTCTTAGATGATACTATCCTGAGACAGGTGGGTCTGTGCTGTATAAGAAAGCAAGTTGAGAAAGCAAGAGGGAGCAAGCCAGTAAGCAGTATGCCTTCATGGTTTGTATGGAGTTCCTGTCCTGAGTTCTGCCAGTGATGGACCTAGAAGATGAATAAAGAATAAACCTTTTCCTCTTCCAAGTTGCTTTAAGTCAAAATATTTTATCACGACCCCGACAGGGGTTGTATATCCTATGTCCTGAATAACAGATGTTTACATTATGATTTGTGACAGCAGTAAAATTATGAATTATAAAGTAGCAACAAAATAATTTTATGGCTGATGGGGATTACCATAACATGAGAAACTGCATTTAAGGATCATAGCATTAGGTAGATTGAGAACCACTGATGTATAAAGCTACGAAATCTCACTCTAAAACATTGCCACCTCTCTTACTCAGCCCAGGTTTCCACATCACTTCATGCATGTCTTAGGACAGGAAGCATTTTGTCCTATTGGACATGAGGGCTGGCTCTGGGATCCTCCTGGCTTGGTAGTGCTTTTTTACATTTAAGCTTCTGTTTCTAAACCATGAACTTCTCTTTTATGGAGGTGTTAGAGGCCCAATGTTGTAATTCGTATTTAAAATCTAGAACCATGCCTAAAAGGTGGTGAGTCCAGCCCGTGTTAGCTATTGCAGGTGCTCTATCTTGGGTAACTGCTCCTTGGGTCACATTAGGGATAGAAGTACCCTCACTGTCATCTTGGGATTCTTGCACACAAACTTGCACCTGCGAGAGCCCCAGCAGGCTAAACTCCACGGAATAGGAAGGGGATCATATAGTTGAGGAGGGCAAAATGTCTTACCTGTTGCTTCTACCATCCCTTCTAGTATGACCACGACTTCGAACTCTTCCTGTTCCAGTTGAGCACGAGACATCTCCCAGAAAGGGCTCTTCTCATTGATCTCGTGGGAGATGATGAGCGGAGAGACCAGGAAGAGGCGGTCATCACCGGTGTCAAAGCCCACGTTAATGTCAGTCTGGTTCAAGGGGATGAATTCCCCTTCTTTGGTCTGCCGGGATTTGATAAGCTTGGCACGGATGGAGGCCTCCACGATATGGGAGTTTCGGAGGTCCCCTACCCGGAACATGAGGCACAGTTTCTCATCCCGCATGGAGATGACGGCATTGTTGGAAAACATGAGGGTCTCTGCTCGCTTCTTTGGCTGGCTGATCTTTACAAACATACACCCCACCATGAAGGCATTAACAATCGAGCCCAGGATAGCCTGCACCAGAAGGAGTATGATCCCCTCTGGACACTTCTCCGTAATGACTCTGAAACCATACCCAATGGTCGTTTCTGTCTCAATGGAGAACAGGAAAGCAGACACAAAACCGCTAAGGTTTTCAACACAAGGGATCCATTCTTGGTCACCCACGTGATCCAGATCACCTCGGACATAAGCAATGAGCCACCAAATGAAGCCAAAGAATAGCCAGGTGATGGTGTAGACCATGGTGAAGACCAGAAGGTTGAAGCGCCATTTGAGGTCCACCAGGGTGGTGAAGAGGTCACTTAGGTAGCGGTAGGTTTCCTGAACGTTGCCGTGGTGCACGTTACACTTGCCTGTCTTCTCCATGTAGCGCTGACGTGGCTTCTTGCCTTCTGCCAGCAGGCGGGTGCGGTCCGTGGCAATGGGGATGTAATCCCGAGCCTGTTTGGGAATCTTCTTGTGGTCCTGGGAAGTGACTCCTATCTCCATGTCTTGATTCACAGCATTCCTAAAATCACCGGCCATAGCTGAGATACAGTGAATGAAAATGACAATAGTATTAGTGAAGTGCTCTGCCCTGATTAGTACAGATTTGGAACTGGAGGTTACTTCCTTCTGGGAACTCTCACGGGATTGTCATTTATAATGACATTTACAATTTATAATCTAGTCTTCTGGAGTTAAAGATTGCAATCCCCATTATTACTATTTTTTAATATGTATGTATGTTTTGCCTGTACAGGTATGTACAACATGTGCATTCCTGTGCCAATGGAACCAGAAAAGGCATCAGATCTCCTGGGCATGGAGTTACAGACAGTTGCCAGCTGCCATATGGGTGGTAGGAATGGAACCCAGGCTTTCTCCAAGATCGGCCAGTGTTCTTAACCACTGAGACATTTCTCCTTCCTCTCACGTGGATTTCTAATATTTTGTTAGGATAGAAGGTCCTCAGGAACAGGATTTTGTGCCTTTTCATTGCTTGCTACATTCCAGACACCTGGGATAGATTATGTGACACACACTATGGTTTAACAGCACCACCGTGTGAAGAATGGAAGGATGTATAAGAAAGCAGGGGAAGATCTGAGGAGTGTATGAAGGCTGATGTTGGATTCCTACTTACCTGTCCCCAAGCCTGTGCTGTCCTTTAAAATCCTCTCTTTCCTTTCTTTTTGCTGGGGATCCTCTAGCAGCTGACAGAAAGGATGAGGCAGCATGTGTCTGGTTCAGTGAGTGGTCACTCCTACTGTCTGAGTGGGGAGCCTGGCCGTCTGAGTGCTTATTGAAATGACAGACCACTGTGTAGATGCACCCGTGAAAAATCTGATCTAGTTAGTCCTGAGCAATTGAGACAGATGGATTGTTCGTACCCCAAGGCTTTCAAAAGGACTGCTTTTAGAGGGCATGCCACTTCAAAGAGACACATGGAGACTTGGAGTGTTCCATCTATTGCCTTCTTGGCATTCTACACAAGCCCACTTAAAATGCTTTGAGACTCTGATAAAGACAGGGAAGAATGTGAACCCCTCTGGTTACTGAGAACAGCTTACTGGGGGTGGGGGTTGGGGGGGCAGGAGCTGAGCTAGGAAAATGCAGCTCCATTTTCTTGTTTAATCCTACCACAAGTGATGAGATGGTTATAGCCTGTCCATTTTTCTTTTACTGTTAAAGTTATTTTTGTCTATCCTTTATTTTAACATAGTCTCAGGTTGATTGGGAGGCTACTGTGTAGCCCAGGCTGGGCTCAAACATGCACATTCCTGTTGAGGCTGTGGTGGTGATATGGCTGGGGTATGCCACCATGCTGAGCTAATCTGTCCATTTTTTTTTTCCAGTTGAGGAAATGATGCTTGAAGCAGCATTTAGCCAATATAGGTTTGGAATCCGGTTTTACCTTGCTCTAGCCCAGAGGCTTAACCCTAAAGACATGATGGTATTCTGTGGCTCAAACTTTGGATAACAGACTGCTAATTTCAGAATTTTCTTTGAGCTCTGATCCTGGCATATGACACCATAGGGGATCCTAGGTAAACATTTTTCCTTGGGTTTCACAAGAATACTCTTTCTTGGGTGTATAATTCTCACAGGCCATCATTTTCTTTGTTGCACTGACAAAGAAACAAAATATCTTTACCCCTCTGGGACCCCCTGAGGTAACATTTTTCTCCTGCAGGCTTGAATCCAGCACACACTCTGGACATTCACCCTGGGCTTTGGTATGTTTCTCTTTGGAATCCAGTTGCTGGCACTCTCTTGTGGGAGGTTCTCTAATGCTGGTTTTGAGGATTTTATAGAACTACTTGGAACCATTCTGGTAAGTGTTCTATAAACAGATAGGTAGCCAATTAGAAATTAGCAGGCTTGGCAGACGTGAGGTTTGGAACGCTTTTTTATAATCAAGATCATGTGACACCTAGGGCAGGAACTGTAGGGCTCTAGTTATTAGTCAGAGGAACAGGACCTGAGTCAAATCTGGTTCTTCGATGGACATCCTAATTCTCTGAGAACATCTGTTTATAACTATTTAAAAGCTGGTTTCAGGTCTACTAGTGTGTATTCTATACACACCAGTGCCAGCTCCTGTAAGAGTCAGTCAAAATTAGCCCACTAATCATCTGGACAGGAAAATTCCTCTTGGAGAAGATGTTGTACTAGTTAGCTTCAGCTGTCAACTTGACACTTTTTAGAGTCACCTCAGGAGAGCGTCTCACTTGAGAGACTGCCTATGCCAGATTGGCTTTTGGCCGTGTCTGTGAGAGACTGTCTTGACTGATGATTGGTACAGAAGAGCATAGCCCACTATAGGTGGCACTATCCTTGGACAAGTGGGTCTGAGTTATATAAGAATGCTAGCTGAACATGGGCCAGGGAGCAAGTCAGAGATTAGCTAGCAACCAGTATTCTTTTGCTTCAAGTTCTTGCCCTGAATTCCTGCCGTGATCTCAATGATGGAAGGTGACTTGAAAGTTATAAGCCAAATGAACTCTTTCTTCCCACAAGTTGCTTTTGCTCAGAGTATTTTATCAAAGCAAAAGATCATGAACCCAAAACATCTGTCTATTTCAGGTCTACTAGAAATAGTGTGATCTGTCTACAATATACATTGACACAATGTTCTTTTTGTTCATTGTTTGTTCTTACCCCTTGAGGGTGTCCTGTGCTACTTTGTAATAAACTCTGTCTTCTAATTATATTCTCTACATATTGTATGAATTCTTTTTGGCACAGATCACAAGACTGTAGAGATGAGTGGGGACAATATCAAAATACCAATGACATAGACCACTGAACCATCTGCTCCCATTGGCCAACCAAGGTAATTTTGGCTATCCTGAGAAATCTTATGACTCTAGCACATCTTTTCCTTTGCCACCTAGGTGGCTACAGCAATTTCAAGGTAACCTTTAAAAATGTCATATTGAAGACTCATGCTTTCAAGGGGCCATTTGTTTCAGACATCCATTGGCCATTTCCACACTGCACACAGCCACCTGCTCCCTGCTCTCAAATGTGGCATTTACAAAGATAAATGACGGAAGAAGGAAAACGTGTGGACCATCTTTACGGAGCACTATTTAGGATTTTGTTCCACCCCTGGGTGAGTCTGTGTACCAAGAATCTGACCAGAGATTCCTAAAGCTGGTGACCCCAAAGCCCCTGTGCTCCTGGGGATCCAGCTGTGATAGCCCACATAGGTTCCAACTGAAGTGTTGCAGTGAGTTCTAACCACACATGCTGGGCAGGGCTACAGCAGGGCCATGAGAATGGCTAATCTGGGCACATGGGAAAGTGTACTCTGCCTTCAGCTCTGCTGATTTTCTGTATCGTTTCTTTACTATTTTTTTTCTTAAATACCCTTCATGCCATCTTATAGGAGAGAGCCCGGTGGTGTACTAGAAGCACAATGGTATTTTCTAGGACACCTCTGCCCATGTCTGAAAAAGTTTTGCTCTACGAGAAGTCTGCAAGTTTCTGAGTTAAGAGCCATGCATACAACTAAAATATTCCTTATGGCATCCAGAGTGTGATGACTAAGTTGTAGAGTCTTTGGTCGGGTTAAGAACTCTGTAGGTCATTAATGAGATAAAAGTTTGGGCTTCTCTATGAGGATGTATTCAGAGAGATAAACCTGAAGAGGGGAGACTCACCCTGATTGTAGACAGCAGTACCCCGTGGTCATCCCAAATTTAATCAAAAAAGGAAGGAGACAGCAAACTGAGCCCTGGAAGTTCCTCCCCTTCTTTGACTTCTGATCTGCCCCAATGTGAGCAAGTTCTCACTGCTGGTGGTTCCAGCTGCTCCTCCGGCTGTGTCTTCTCTGCTGTGATGGGCTACACCTTCAAGCCCAAGCAAACTGTTTCTCCTGTAAGTTACCTCCAATCCAGTGTTTGATCATAACTACCAAGGGTAGGACTTGGATTTGAGCTCTATATGCACAGACTCGCTCTGTGGGTCATTGAAAAGACAGTTTTATCTGTGTCTGCCTCAGTTTCCCTTGCTATATAACTCAGCTACTGTTTTCTTCCCCCCCCCCTTGCCTGAGGGGCCATTATGGGGAACACTACAAAGGATACAAATATTAGTAAAATGCAGTCCTGTGCCAGATAATAGTACTATGATCAACAGCAGACTGCATAGACAACACTGGCCCCCTAAGACAATGTCGTACAGTAATACAGCCTGCTCTTGGCTGTCTTAATTTGTATAAACAAGCTCTACAAAATCACCTAATGGTGCGTTTTCTTCAGACTATATCTGTGTGGTTAAGCTGTATGACTGTATAAATTTATAACCTCTCCCACCTTGAATTTAAATGGAATGTAATGCTCAATTATCCCAAATTTTAAGCATACAGAGAGAAGAAACATCTAAAATTCAAGCACATAAATTCTCAGTGGTGTTTACAATGTGGGCATTAAGCTGCTTGACCATGGAACCATTATTACACAGATTTCTTTAAAACTTAAAAGCAGGCTGGTCCTGGAAAATCCTGGCCTCCATTGCTTGTGTGCCCAGCCATTCAAAGAGATTTTCAGGGACAATATGGGAAGACTTAAAATCAGGTTCTAGAATTAATTTTACATTCATTAATTGTGGAGCTACTAAAGTCCAACCCCTGAGCGGGGAGCTAGACACAGAGTAGTGGAGCAGGCAAACACGGGCTCAGCCTACCATCACATCTCAGCCCTGCTTCTTTGACTCCATAGTGTGTACAGAGCTGTGTGTACCAGCAAGGGAGGCACAAAGGCACAGGATGGCCAAGAGGCACGCTGAGTATCCTGGCTGCTCTCTTTAAGCCCCTGATCTAACTGAATCCTATTACACCTGGTCACGCTGTCACTGCTCATATCTTCTGGTTGCCCCTTTTGCCTGTGGATGGGAAGAGTTACTAGAACACACTGAAAGGTCTCCACAAAGACAGCTTCAAGTCCTGCAAAGAAGGTTAGTCCCTTTGATATAAAACACAGGTGAAGAGACTCAGAAGAGGCCAGATCAAAGGAGCTGTATTTGAACTGGTGCACAAGTGAAACTGACACTCGTTAAATAGACCTTGGGGCAAAGGATCCCCCGAGACATCCAGCACAGTGCAAAAAAGCTCAGGACCATGGGGTGGTCTAGGATGTCAGGAGTCCAGGAGTCTCTGTGTAGCAATCTGATAAGAGCAATACTCGCTTTTTTGGACAGAACACTGGATTAAGAGTCTTAGTTTCCCACCTATGAAAATGGGAGTCACAAACATCTTACTGGATTCTTCCTTTCTCTTTCTCTAACATGTGGTAGGTTACCATCTGAATGCTTTAAGATTTGGGACATGTGATAGACCACATTAGAGAAAGGCATACAGAGGAGGATGTACTCATGTCCCTGTTTAGAGATCTGGGTACTATACTGGGTAAATCTGATTAAGTGTGCTAGGTATTTAGAGAAGCTTTGAAAGCAACGGAGACCATCGATGGTGGCCAGGAAAAGCATCATCTTTGCTCAAATGTAAGCTTTAAAACATCAGATGAAAGGGTAGATGTTTCAGAGCTTTACTGAGGCCTATTAATGGACCATAACTTCCTTCTAGTTAAAAAAGTAATCTGTAGTCCAGATCTGCAGTAAATATTAGAACATGATACACTATTATCTCCTCCTTTGAGAGTTAATGTTGAAGCTGGGCATGGTGGCACATGGCTTTAATCCCAGCACTTAGGAGACAAAGGCAAGGGCAAGCAGATTTCTGTGAGTTCTAGGACAGCCCAGTCTATATAATAAGTTCCAGGACAGCTAGGGTCTTGTAGAGAGACCCTGTCTGGAAAATAAATAAGGAAAAAAGTTAATGTTGAGTCACTGGCCAATGGGATCCTTTAGATTTCCCTTCCAAAACATCACACTTGACTACTTATACTCCATACCCTTGTGGTAAGGCTTGTTGTTGAAGACAACACTTATGTCAAACATGGAGAAATTGACCTGGTGCCCAAATGGAAGCTTCACCCCTACTGACTAACATTCATGTTGCTGGAAGGTTCTCCACATGCTATCAGAGGAGAAAGGTAATCATCAGTATCACTCAGTGATATAAACTCTGCAGCCTACAACAGAGACCTGCCTGCAAGATGGGCAATAGTGGCACAAATGTAATGGGTCCTACCAACCACTTCTTCAAAATTGGATTTAATGACTACTCTATAGTATTAATCCATACTGGACACTGCTAAAGAGGCCAAGAACTAGACTAGATAGACCATGGACCTTGGAGGAAAACATGCTACTATTATCGTGCTAAAGAAACATGGCAATAAAAGCAATAAAATGATTCCTAATAACGTATTACTGAACCCATAGGCCTGTGCATTGCTCAACCTCATGAGAGAAGCTTCTTCTTGCAGTGGTTTGGAATTAACACAGAGACCCACAACTGCATAACCTGCAGGAAGTAAAAGACTGTATAGTACTCAGTCCTAATGAGATGTCTTTATCAATACCACCCCACCACCCACCTACTCACCCCCACCACCACTAAGGATTAGGGATCTTTATGGAAGAGAAGGAGAATGATTATAAGAGCCAGAGGTGTGGATGACTCCAAGGAAACTGTTTTCCAGACACAACGGAACTAATACATATATGAACACACAGAGGGTGTGGCAGCATACATAAGACGTATATAAGTTCAAGCCAGACAAATATCCCAGCAGCGAGAAGGGAAAAGGACACAAAGTGCTATCCCTAACACAGAAACTCTTCCCACCTGATGTCTGCTGGGAAGGTGAAACTCAGCGAGAAAAGAACATGAAGTTGGGTGGGGAGGGAGGTGGGTAAAATCTGGAAGGAGTTGGGGAAGGGGAAAGAATATGATCAAAATTTGATATATGAGAAAATATAAGAACAACAAAAGAGTTAATCCAGCTAGGCCTGTCAGTCACTGGACAGGAGACTATCCCACAGGAAAGCTGATTCTGGTGAAGGCTTGCTAAGTCAATTTAAGGGACAATTACCTCTAATGGGAAGGACACACTTATATTCCAATGTGGCTACTTTTGACATTTCTGCCGTGGGACTGGAGAGGTGGCTTATTGGTCAGGAACACTGGCTGTTCTTCCAGAGGCCTTGGGTTCAATTCCCAGCACCTACATGACAACTCACAACTATTTCTAACTCCACTTCCAGGGGATTCAATGCCCTCTTCTGACCTCAGTCAGCCTTGTCTGAATATGGTATACAGACATACATGTATGCAAAATACCCATAACATAAAATAAAATGCTTTTTAAAAATGCTTCTGCCATGTGCACTGCTAACCCTGCCCAGTTTTCTAAGTTCTAACTAAACAACGAGAACAATCACTTTTCCTTCTCTGTATATCATTTGTTTGTTTGTTGCTTGGTTGGTTGCTTGCTTGCTTGGATACCATCCGAAATCCTACCTCTACATTCCCTGACACTTCAGCCTACAGCTCCTCTTGTTTCCACCACAGAGCTGCTTCTTGAATTCTAATGTAAATGGCATGGCTATCTTGCTTCCTCTCACCTATCCTTTCTTCAGCTTGTCTGGCCTAGAGGTTTTCTTCCAAACTCGAATAAAATGCACCTAGAGCGTCCTTCTGAGTCTGTGTTTAAACTCCTTTATTAACAAGACTAAGGATCTACAAGAAGAACCCCAACTTCCTCGTAACTACTGCACTGCAGTGTTAAAATATGAAAATGCTCCAAGCAGGTTGGTGGCTTGCTCCTCTCGAATGTGCCCTGATTAGCATGGAGTGTTAAAGGCACTATAAACAGTGTCTATATCCAGTACAGAGAAGAGCATTTAACCAAGCAAAATTCTAAGTGCCCCATGATCTCTATTCCTATAGACACTCCTTGAAGCCCCACGACTTGGGGATTCTGCTCCCATGGTTGGTACAGTTTGAAGGTGATGTCAACCTGGTCTAATTATAGCTACCCTTTGAAGATCTTGGCTTTCCTAAAAGGCAGGAGTCAATAGGTCTCTTCTTTTCTTTAAAGAC